TTAAAAATATTATTTAAAAATATATGCATCTTCTGTGTATAAGTTGAGGTATCTTAGTTATGGTAAGTTTGATCATCTTATCACATGGGTAGAAAAGAAAACATTTTGTGGGGAGAGAAAGGGGATGTAAAGAATACTTAAAATACAAGAAAACTTGAACTTTGTATGATGAGATGATGCCAAATAATTGGTGCTTTAAAGAAATAAAAGCTGGGGATTTCCCTGGTGGTCCAGTGGTTAAGACTGTGCTTCCAATGCAGGAGGTGCAGGTTTGATCCCTGGTCAAGCAACTAAGATCCCACATGCTATGTGATACAGCCAAAGACATAAAGGAATAAAAGCTAAAATATGAACACAGAAAATATATAACGTATCATCTAAGACATTTTGGGGGCGTAGTCATGGAAATTCAAATATTGTGAGCAATACATATAAATTTGAAGTATAAAACCTTCTGTCATGCTTGCAGCCTCTGTCTAACAGCATGTCAGGCTGTCAGCGGATATCTCAGCATCCCCCCTTGTAGGCTTAGCACTGTGCTGTGGGCTGTGCAAGGTGGAAGAACCCTGAACTCCTGTCTCTGTCTGCAAGGAGTTTCTGACAGCAGATAGACTCAAGATAGGTGTTTTTGCTACCACAGTGAGGACTACAAGGCAGATGGCATGGAGGAGCTGAAATCATTCAGAGAAGTTTCCCATTGTAGGGAGAGGATGTTTGTAATGCTGACAGGATATAAAGATTGACTCCTGAGTGCTTTTATTACTTTTCCATTGAAAAGTCCTTGCAAGAAATTACTTAAAACCTGAGCATTTTAGGCCCAAATTTCCTGTCCTAATTAGATTTATATCAGTGGTTCTTAATTCAAGGTAGTTTTGCCCCCACCCTAGGGACATTTGGCAGCGCCACAGGTATTTGTTAGTATAGGTGGGGATGTACAGGACGCCCCCATACACACTCAAATGTCGCAAGTGGTGAATTTGAGAAACCCTTGTCTGCATATCCTGAAGGCACAGTGAAGGGACACTGGGGCTGACCACCTGTCTGTCACTGGTTTTATGCGACCAGTGCCTCCGGGAGTTATGGGGGCTGGGCTAGGATAAGTTAGTGAGAGGCACTGAAGCGGCGTGTACTTAATTATTCATTTCTCAGCTGTTCATCTTATTTCAGTTGAAATCAGCCTAAACCAGGGATATAATAAAGGATTACAGACAAAAAAGAGAACTATATGTGAATAAAAGGATATCTTTTTGCACTTGATCCAAGTTTGTGTCATCATATTCAATATTTGTAGTGTCATATTTAGTATTTGTATAGTAAGCATTTAATGCTTCTTTGCTCTTTATGTGATACCTTTGGGCTTAATGGAAATTAAATGGGATGGAGATTTTTAAAAATAGTTGTATTTATTTATGTTTGGCTGTGCTGGACCTTCGTTGCTGTGTGGGCTTTCTTTAGTTGCAGCAAGCAGGGCCTCCTCTCTAGTTGCAGTGCATGGGCTTCTCACTGCAGTGGCTTCTCTTGCTGCGGAGCAATGGGTGTAGGGCATACAGGCTTTCACTAGGTGGGGTGCCTGGGCTCAGTAGTTGCCGCCCCCCGGGCTCCAGAGCACAGGCTCAGTAGTTGTGGTAGTTGTAGTTGTGGCTTAGTCTTCCCCTGCATGTGGGATCTTCATGGATCAGGGATCGAACTGTGCCTTCCACTGAGCCAGCAGGGAAGCCCTAAAATTGGAATTAATTAGAATCAGAGAGTTCTGAATTTCACATTAAGGTTCTAGTTGTGTGACTTAGAAGAAGTTACCTAATCTCTTTGAGTTATAGTTTACTCTGTTAGAAAAAAAAGATAAAACCTCGATTCATGTTGATATTTGACAGAAACCAACGCAATACTGTAAAGCAGTTATCCTTAAATTAAAAATAAATAATTTTTAAAAATTTGTAGAAGATAAATAACAGTGTGCCTTTAGATTTATAAAGAGATATCCAAATAATTTCATATATTTCCACAAGGCTTGAATTTTCCATTTCTAATCTTTATTCTAGATGCTATGGTTTTGTTTCTGACATTTCCTTGAGGAATTCTATGCAGATGACCAGTACTGAATTAGTGTTTTTAGGACCAGAGTTTAATATACTTACTATTCCTTCTAGAAGAATTTAATTTACATCACTTAACAACTTCCCATTTCTGTAGCTCTGAAGTTCCAGAAGAATCAGTTGAGTAGACAGATTTATTCCTTCTTAGTCTGGTATTTTGTGGCATCAGTAAAACCAGAGATGCTAAAGCCAGTTTCAACAGCTATCAGCTAAAAGAATATAAATTCTTAACAGGGATGACATTTCCATGCCCCGAATCCTGGGGAGAAAAATCTGGCAAATAAGACAAGATTTAGGTGATTCTTGCCTGTTAGAACAGTAGTTTTACAGTGGGTGCACATGGGTAGAGTTTTGCTAAACATTGAACTTGGGGAAAAATGGAAAGTTTATTTAAAACCATGGGTGTTTAAAACATCCAGGTTTTTTGAGTAACATTAACGTGCTTTTATAATTGTGAAAATTTGTCTCTAACTTGCTTAAAATACAAGCAATAGAACATAGTGAACTCATGTTAGTTGGCCAAATTCTCTATTGTTTATAAGAAAATACTGAGCCAGAGTTCTTCCAGCTTTTATTAGCCTGAAACCTGATTATAAATTCATGATCATCTATAGATCTTAAAAGGATTTTGGAATTTTTGGTTCTTATTTTTCTATGAAGTATCTTAAAATACCTAATTCAGAGTTGACTGTCAAGAGAAGCTGAAGAATGCCACTTTACTTCATCAAATCACAAACCTCTAGAGCAGAAAGGGCCTTGACAACCATTCTAACAACGCTCTTTTTTTTTTTAAACAGATCAGAAAATTGAGACACAGAAAGATTGACTTGTCCAAAGTCACACTTGTAGGTCAAGCCTATTTGACCACTAGCCCTGTCTTCTTCCCACCTATTTTTACTCTCTTCATAATTTTATTCATTATTAGAATGGGACAGTCAGGGTTTTTTTTGTTGTGGTGGTGGTTAAACACACATAGCATTTAATCATTAAAAGTTTTATCTTTAAATAGGCAAACACATGAATATGGAACAAAAGTCAAAAGGTACACAAAGGTTTACGGTTTGCAGTGATGAGGCCAACTCCCTTGCTCTCCTGTCCATCCCAGATCCCTTCCTTGGAGGCAGCCACTGTAAAGAATGAGGGATTTTAAATAGAGCGTTTGGGTCTAAATAGCACGTCTAAACTGACATTGTAGTATATCATTCTTCACGGATTGCAGTCTGGCCTGCCAAGTTTAGGTAATGCCCAACAAAGGAAAAACATAAGCCATGGAATTGGGATGTGGAGAAAATTGTGCACTGATTTGAAAATTACCCAAAGTCCAAGTGATTTCCAGTAATGGAAGTGAAGGCTCTCTTACATCAGTACTCTGTTACTCAGATAATGTCTTTTGTGCAAAGAGCCTGAAGTATTTTTTAAGAATTCTCATGTATCCTCATGACATGTAAAATCCCTGAGTGGTGCATAACTACTTTCAGCTGCTTTAGAATCTATACCACATTGGCCACAAAAAAGAATTATGTTGATGTTTGAACAAACACCCCCAGGCTCTGTGAAACCATCAGTGTGGGACATCACATGGATCTGCTTTTCTCAGCCTCTGAGCCGCCGTGGCCTGCCTTGATGAAACCTTCGTGTCTGGTCCTTGGAGGGGGAGTACCCAGGCATCAGGCCTGGAGAATTCCTCACCACGTGGGCAGGTGGCTGAGGGGCGAGGGGAGTTCCAGGAGTACATGTGCACCTTTTGTTGTGGAGCAGGGAAGGCAGCAGGCTCTTGGTACTGCCTGGTGCCTTTGTCGCCTTAAAGCATAGGTGCTGACTTGGGTATTGGTAGGTGCCTGCCCACGTGCTAAGAGGTCAGCCTGGAAAAAGCTGCAGGTCTAGACTCCACGTGCCCCAGTCAGGCTTAACCCAGTTTCCAAGGCAGACCTCCCCAAGTGAAAAGGGGGACGAGTAGCTGCAAGTGCTTATCTTTCTGTGGTGCTCTGTGTGACTTAGGACAGGTTTCACCCAGTAGGGGAGAAGGCCTTGAAAGTTCATAGGTTGTTTGAAGAGAGCTGAGGATGGAGCCAGGGAAGCCACAGGGAAGAAAGTGGAGGAGGAGGAAATCATCTTTTTGAGAGAGCAGTTCTGTGACTTCTGTGCTGCTGGACTCTTATTAAATTAGGGGTTTCACATCCACTCTCGAGCAGTGGGTTTTTGTTTTGGGGGCTGTTTATTGTTGTTTGGCTTTCCCTCCAGTTTTCCTGATTCTGAGGATTTTCCTGGGCTTCCCTGATGGCTCAGTGATAAAGAATACGCCTGCCAATGCAGGAGGAGATGCTGGTTTGATCTCTGGGTCGGGAAGATCCCCTGGAGAAGAGAATGGCTATCCTCTCCAGTATTCTTGCCTGGAGAATCCCATGGACAGAGGAGCCTGGTGGGCTACAGTCCATGGGGTCGCAAAGAGTCAGACACCACTGAGTGACTAACACTACCTAATAAATATAAATACTGAAAGTATTGGGAACCTTAACTGAATTAAACAGAACTTAATTTCAAGAAAGCATGAATGTTCATTTTCATCTGGTAATGATGCCTTGACATTGATTCTTTTTAATGTTTTTTAATTGTTTAGACACTGAAATATTAGTTCATAGTAGCCATTAAAATATCAGTGCTGTTAATCTTTGCAAGCAGAACTACTGAGCAGCCTTTCGTTATAACGGCCCTGCCAAATATTTGATCTGGACTAATACTCTGATTTCAAAGTTATTCAGAATTTAGAGGATTTTGTAATTAATAGTAACTATTTTTTATAGCTAAAACTTTCATAACAAGGAAATAGCTGTTATTTCATCATCACAGTCATTTTAACAGCTTTACATGTAAATAAAACATTTCACTGATTGTATTTTTTCTGTTCAGAGAGGAACCAAGGCCTTAACCTTCTCAGCTCATTGACCGGAGCAAACCATAGCATTGGATCAGCAGAGACCTGCCACTCAGAGGTAAAGATTTTTCCTGGATCTTTTCTCTGCTTTGGCTTTTATTTCTACTCGTCATTATGAATCTCTACACCATTCACCATTTTTTCCTTTCCAATTAAGAAGTGGTAGAGAATATCCAGAATAGATACAAGGAGCCTGCTGCCTGTTAAGAGCAGGCTAGATTGGTATTAAAGCAGTAAGCCCTTTCAAGATGTTTACAATTTGGGCTGTTCCATGTGTTTTTGCTTGAGTGCTTTTAAAAACATGCTAGAATTTCCTTGAGGCTGAAGTTGCCCCCCAGATCTTCAAATATAAAACAAAAGTCATGGTTCTTTTAAGTACTTCTTATGTACTCTATGATCTGAGGCAGGTCCTTGTCCTTAACGAGCTTAATAGGCTGACTTCAGGCCTCTGTCCTCAAGGACTCTGGTCCGTGTCCGCCTTGGTCGGCATGCTGGAATCATGAGCACATTATGCAGTGCCACATTGTCTTCCCAGGACCTTCTTCTTCCGTCTCTGGGCTGTTTTGTGGTAGGATTGTGTACATTTTCAGGTTTTGAGTAAAACATGATTTGAAACAAAACAAGCAATATGTTTTTAATAGTCAAAAGCAAAATCATAGCACTTGTGTATCCTTGAGGAAAAACACCCCCAGATTAGTGAATCCTTGGCCCTTTTTCACATAATGTGGCCTCGATCCTTCTTCCGTCCCTCCTTGTGTCTAGCTCCTCTTCCTGCCTCTAAAGCTGAGCATTGCGTGGACTGTGCGCCTTTTTGGAGGTAGCGCGGAAGCAGCCTCCAGTTAGACTGTGGCTCTTGTGTGTCTGTCTCTCCACAGCCCTGTGAGCCGGCAGCAGCGAGGACCGAGTCCCTCTCGGACCATCGAGGGGCCGCTTCTGACACGGCAGACGTGCAGGTCGATAGCGTTGTGGGTGAGTGCCGAGCGGCTGCCAAGTGAGAGCGCTGTGGAGCTTGCCAAGCCGGTGCATGGGGCACACATCATCCAGAGGGAGACTGCCTTTAGACGAGGATGAGGGAAGGACGTCGACCATTGATACTGTTCAGCTGCTAGGTCGTGTCCGACTCTCTTGCAACCCCATGGACTGTAACCCTCCAGGCTCCATGGGATTTCCCAGGTAAGAGTATTGGAGTGGGTTGCCATTTCCTTCTCCAGGGGATCTTCCGTACCTCGTGATCGAACCTTTGTCACCTATAATGGATCCTTTGCCACTGAGCCACCATGGAAGTCCAGGGACGTCAGCAGTGACCCCCAGATGAATGTGGGCCTTGTGGACGGCTGTCAGAAAAAGCAGGGAGAATAAATACATTGCAGTGCAAATCTGCGGGCACCACCGATTCTCTCAGCAGAATCTGATTGAGATTATCGTAAAGTAGGTAGAACCAGGTAGTGAACAGCTTTATATCTCCATATTCCACCATTTTTCATGGTATTTTACAGCAGTCAGAATTGGTAACAAGAATAATGTAGTTTTATAAGCCCTCTCATATCCTTTTAAAGTTCTTTTATGTCCACATTCTCATTTGGTAATGAAGTTTGGCAGAGAAGTTATTTTTCAAAGATGAAGGTGCAGCCCAGAGCAGTTTAATAACTTGTGCAAGGGCATCGAATAAGAAAGTCTTGGAGCTGAAACTGAAAAGCAGTTTGTCCAAAAAGCTAGAAAGCCAGGGTGCTTAGTTGACAATAACTGTAAATGTTCTTTTGTTGGGAAACTACTCACATCACTACTACTTTTAATGCCACGGAGGGCCCATGTGCAATAATAAGTCTTAAAAAATTTTTTTTCTGTTCATAAACTAATCCATACAGAAAACTAATTGGTTATAGAAACATATTAAGAAGAAAAAATTGTGTATAACTTAATTTCTCTCCAGTTTATTCAATCTTGTCCTCTCAGTTGAACCCTTTATATTAGCTTTGAGACGTACTAAAGTCCCTGCCATGAGAACAAACCATTGACCACACAGAAGAAGATGGGAAGATAAGAACTAACCTAAAGAACTCGGGGAAATGGTATCCTAACTGGATGCCATAAGCCAGAAACTAAAAGAACTGAACAGAAATCCTACACTCTACTTAATAAATATGATTCTTACAGGGATATGGGTTTACAATTCTGAAGGTAAATATAGTTTACATATATTATGGTTGAAAAAATAAGAAAATATAGCATAGAGAAAGAGAGCTAGGTTTCTCACTGTCAGAGAAAGAAGTTACAAATAAGGAAAGGTGAAGGCTGGGTTGAATCCTTTGGTACTGAACTAGAATTGAAGGTATCAGTATGAACTCTTGGTTTGTTAAAATATAGTTTGAGCAGTGGAGAAATAAATACAGAAAACGTGTATGGATGTGTGGGCTTCCCAGGTGGCGGCAGTGGGAAAGAACCTGCTTGCCAATGCAGGAGACATAAGAGATCCGAGTTCTATCCCTGGGTCAGGAAGATCCCCTGGAGAAGGGAACAGCAGCCCACTCCAGTATTCTTGCCTGGGAAATCCCAAGGACAGAGGAGCCTGGCTGACTACAGTCCATAAGGTTACAAAGTGTCAGACACGACTGCAGTGACTTGGCACACACGCAGGCGTGCATGTGTAAGTGCACACACACACATACACACATATATTTCCTAGCTCTGTCCACTAGGAGGGTCTAGAAGCAATAATACTCTAATAGTGGTGGAGACACTTAGCACTTAGATCTTGGTTTCTAAATACCATTCTCCAAGAAAAGATACCAGGGCTACTTGGAGAAGTGTGTGATTCAGGGCTAGGGCAGGAAGAATGAAGGGTGAACCTGAAGCATCTCATGGTGCCAGAAAGTAAAGTGAAAGTCACTCAGTCGTGTCCAACTCTTTGCAACCCCATGGACTATATAGTCCATGGAATTCTCCAGGCCAGAATACTGGAGTAGGTAGCCTTTCCCTTCTCCAGGGGATCTTCCCAACCCAAGGATCGAACCTAAGTCTCCCACATTGCAGGCAGATTCTTTACCAGCTGAGCCACAGGAGAAGCCCTAGAATTCTGGAGTGGTTAGCCTATCCCTTCTCCAACAAATCTTCCCGACCCAGGAATTGAACCGAGATCTCCTGCATTGCAGGCGGATTCTTTACTAACTGAGCTATGTGGGAAGCCAGAAAGTAAGGAAATGCTCAAAAAAGGATGAGGGCATGTTGAAAGGTCACAGGAACCAACCTGAAAGCATTTCCAATGGCTAACGCTGGAAGATTTTGACAAGCAACAAAAATTAACATTAGTATTAGGCTGTAATCTATAAAATAAAATGTATACCCATGAATCCATACTAATTTAAATAAATAATTGAATAAATACATACCTGGAAAAGAAAGGGCTGCTACTCCTCCTAGAAGAATTACAGTTGATAAATGTAGACATTATGAGGGAAATAGAAAATCACCCTTAGCCACACTTTACAGTAATAGTCATTGCAGGCAAGATCCACTGATAGATGGTGAAATTAGTAGATGAACATTTGAGAAGAAATACAACATTTCCATAGTCAAAAAATATCTTTTCCAAAGGGAGAATAGTAACTGTATACTGGAAAAACCTGGCAAGTACCCCTTTAAGGGGTGAAGGTTACGTCACCAGTAATGACATATTTACGTCTCCTCTCAATATGATGCACTGAAAGGGTACTCACGTCTGTGGTGTTCCCGCCAAAGGTCCATAACCTCAGTTGTAAGAAAACATCAGACAAACCCAAATTAAGGGGCATTACACAAAATAACTGGCCAGTACTCTGCAGAAGTGTCAAAACCATGAACGACAAAGACTCAGGAACGATCACGAACGGGAGAAAACTAAGCTAAGCGGGTCTGACGGCTTAGTGCTGTGTAGAGCCCTGCAGCGAATCCTGAAACAGAAAAAAGATACTAGTGGAAAAACTGATGAAGGTTGAGTGAAGTATGTGGTTAGTAGCACTGTTCCACTATTAACTTCTTGATGTTTATACTTGTACATAGTTACGTAAGATGTTACCAGTAAGGGGGGGTGGGGGAACGGCGTATTGGAATGCTCTATACTATTTTTGCAACTTTTTTTATAAGAGTAAAATTATTTCAGATTTCTTTAAAAAAGGCAAAACCAAACCAGCGAAAGTAAAACACTTTCCCTCCCCCACATCTTCCTCCTCTCTTCGCTTATTTCCATTCCCCAGCTCATTCTCATCGGGCTCTTGTTCCCATTTTCCGCTAAAACAGCTCACCAACAACTTCTGTGCTGCTCGATCTAACTGATGTCCTCCTGTCCCCATCTTGACCTAAGAGGTCGAGGCAGCATTTGGTGTTATGAATCAGTCCCTTTCTGAAGCATTAGCTTCTCTTCATTCAACCAGCACCTCTCCTGGTCTTCTTCCTACCTCTCTGATGATTCCTTCTCTTCGTTTGGAAGAGTACTCTCCCTTACCCAGCCTTTAAATATCTCCATTCCTCAGTGTTCATCTAAGCTCCTCTTCCAAACCTGTATTTCAGCATGAAGTGATTCTACCATATCCATAGTTCAAATAACATGTATACAGATAAATCACAATTTTTTTTGTCTCTAGCCCTGTATAGCAACTGCCACCACAACACACCCATTGAACGAAAACAGATTTATTAACCAGAAGTATTTTTAACATCAGATAATCTGTATAGTATTATAGTAGATGCCAAGAGTCATGTTATCCTTGTCTTCAAGGAGCCTAGAGTCTAAACAGTGCAGAGGCAGGCCTTGTAATGTAATGGGTAAAGTCACGGACTGGGCGTCCTGGGCAGCTGGGTATGACTCCTGACTCTGCCACTAGTAGTGACATGACCTTGAGTAAGTTATTTAGCTTTCCTTAGTTTCGGTAGGGCCTTAGTTTCCCCTTCTGTAACGTAAGGGTAAGAAATCTTTCCTCACAATGCTGTTGCAAAAATGAAATGGAGTTGTGTCAGTTAAAGCACTCAGCAGTGGAGGGAGACAAGGCTGTCTTTCTCTCTTACTGTGGTAAATATTATAGTAGTGGTGGACAGACGTGATAATACAGAGTAGTGTGTGTCAGTGCCAAGACAGCTCTGTAAACACCAATTGTGGGATGAATCTTAAGGAAGGAGACGTGTGAGTTGGGATGGTCAGGGAAGACATCCTACAAGTGGCCAGCCTGGAGTGGAGGCTGAGTGAAAATTCTGACTAAAAACAACGTTTGATAAAGAAACCACATGCTGGTGCAGAAATAGTAAAGGATTTGTGGTAAGAAAATAGGAATTTAGATGGGCTCTGCCTTTGAATAGCTCTAATTTTAGAAGATTTCATTTTTAAACCCAGGTTGCTTCATGTGTAAATTGTGGACTGTGGTATCTGTCCTAAGCACCTTATATGGTTGTCAGTAACAGATGTGAAAATAGTTGTTGTCCAGTAAAGTATGGTATAAATTTCAGGCATTTATTGAATCTGCATATCTTAGTACAGGGTGTGGGCTTTAGAAATTGGAAACACGTAAGTCTGAATCCTGGCTTCCCAGGTGGCTCACCAGTAAAGAATCTGCCTGCCAGTGCAGGAACTGCAGGAGATGCGGGTTTGATCCTTGGGTTGGAAAGATCCCCTGGAAGAGGAAATGGCAACCCATTTCTAGTATTCTTGCCTGGAAAATCCCATGGACAGAGGAGCCTGGCAGGCTGCAGATCGCAAAGAGTCAGGACCGAGCATGCACACATGCATCAATCTGACCCCAAGGTCACACTTACTAGCTGTGACCCAGAGTAAGATCACTTCTCTTTGTACTCTAGTTTTCTCAGGAAAGGTAGAAACAGAATTCTTTGCCCCATTGCAGTTATGTCAAAGATAAACGAGTCCCTGTTCATTTGTGAGGGCTGGCTAGCAGCCAGGCAGGATACAGCACCAGGAGCTGTATAGCTGGCCCGTGCTGGGCCCTCATTCAGTGGTGACTTGCGTCCAAGCCAGACTCATTGCTGTAGGATTCTGGGTATTTAGCACATACATAAATACTGTGTGGCAAATCCTTTTTGCAGATCCCATGTTAGACCTGGACATTCAAGAACTTGCCAGTCTTACTACAGGCGGAGGAGATTTGGAGAACTTTGAAAGACTGTTTTCAAAGTTAAAAGAAATGAAAGGTAATTGGATCCATTGGGTCTTACAGGTTTCCGTAGTGATGCTCCTGTCTTATCTAGTACGATTTTACTTTGTAACTGCTAACAGCACTCCATGCTTTGGCCTCATCTGAGAAATGCAGATACTGTGGGACTGTGCCATCCTCTGTGGGTAAAAGTTTCTTTAGGAAAATTCTCCTCTTTTTTCATTCTTTTTCTTTTTCCTTTCCCTTCTTCTCTTGCCTGTTTCTTTCAGTCTGTCTCATTAACATGGAGTCAGTAAGATCCCTACCAGTTTACTCACATCATTCCCATCTGGAGGGTTTGGAAGACTTAAACTATCTAACAGCTGTAATGACTCCACCATAAACATGTGTTTTCGCAACCCATCTCCCATCTTCTAGTGTTAGAACATGTATGCACTCCAGATTCTCCTGTGCGATTAGATGAATTTCTTAAGATATATTTTCCCCCTAGACAAGGCTGCGACGCTTCCTCACGAGCAAAGAAAGATGCATGCAGAAAAGGTGAGAAAATTAGTCAGGTATTTACATACTTACGGCAGGTCCAGTGCTGTAAGAATTATATGTCACACTTGTTTACTTCTAAATTGTCTTACTGTGAAGTTTCTGTTGGATATTCACTTATGATTAATTGAATATTTAGTTGCTGCCATCAGGCCAGGATTTTCCAATGTATGTTGAGTGACGTGGAACATTGAAGCTCAGAATGTTTGCCTTCCTAGCTGTTAGGCTGGAAAACTCTTGAGTTATTTTGTTTGGGTTGGTTTGGTTATTACCAACACATGTTCCTGGCAAGAAATGTATATGGTTTATGGTATCCCATTGTATGACTGTGTCATAACTTACTTATCCACTTCCCCTTTGCACATTTCAGTCATGTGCCTTTTTTTTTGTAGTGAAGTTCATATCCCTATACGTCTCCTATGTATACAGTTCTGATTATATCCTCAGTATAAAGTCTAGGAATAGAAGTCGTGGATCAGGGTGCTTAGGGGTTTTGATAGATGTTGCCAGAGCACTGAAGGGTGCGGTGTAGAATTTTAAGTCCTAATCAGTTCTGTGTGTGACATGAAACTAGCTGAAGTTTAGGTGTTCCCTGAAATCTGTTGCTTGCTTCTCTCCACAGGTGGCCAAAGCCTTCTGGATGGCAATTGGGGGAGACAGAGATGAAATTGAAGGCCTTTCTTCTGATGAAGAGCACTAAATCATTCATGCTAGGGCTGGCCTAACTAAGACCCTAGTGCCCTCTCCCTGAGATTCTTCTCTCTTCCACCCAGTCATCTTTTGCTGAGCTAACCAGCATTGTGTTGGCTGCCTGACTTGTTTATAGGGTCCCATTAATTTTAGTTTTTAGTAGAGGGTAAAGCAGAAGTCTCTTCTCCCTCAGTATATTGTAAGGGAGTGAGAAATTTTCAAATAACATTTTTTTTTGTTCTAGGAACGGGAGTGGGGTAAGCCTCAAAGGCCTGTGTGATTTGCGCTAGTTAAAGAAGAAAAACCACCACCCAGCTTTCCTGGTCAGTCTTTTGAGGAGCATTCCCTGTGTTCATGTTGATCCCTGCAGATCAGGAGTTTTCTGGTTTTCTCTTTGAAGGAGCTTGCTGCTGGAGGTTTGATGCTTTTGGTGGGAGGAAAGGAAGAAACTGCAGGTTTAATCTGTGATGTAGTACAGATTATGGGTCAGCCACTGGCCCTCGGGTTAGTCTCTAGCTTAAAAAAAAGGCATCTGGGCATTTCATTTGAAATACAGTAATCTGACTTCTTGGTAGAAAGTATTGAGAAACCAGTGTGAATTTTTAGACTATAATAAATGATGCAAAGGTTTTCTACTCTGGTGGGGATAAAAATAAACCCTTCCCTACCAAGTTGTGGGCAGGGGTGGGGGTAGGACATGGGTAAGAGAAACTTAAGGAATTCCCTGTATAGGCCATTGAATCAGTATGATCCTAGCCTGAGACTTTTGCATTAGTATTACCATGTAGAAACTTTTCTTTCTTAGAGTTTGCTACTTGAGATGGCAGAGATGTGTTGTCACAGTTGATACCCTCAGAACAAGGGGAGTTTCCTCTTCTTTCTCTGAATGCCAGAGATCACTGCCCGAAAGTAACACTTAAGTGGGACTTGGTGGGAAGGCATGCAGAACGCTAGGCAATGAATCCCTCAGTACCTGTGTTACTTCCAGGGCTGAGGAGTTGGGCTGCAGGGACACGGATCTCCACGGGGGAAAGTTCCCAGAAGAGTGGGAAATGCAGAAATGAAACCCTTATTTCTGTCTGTTTAGGGACTGCGTAATGCACGTCATGAGCCTTCAGCCTGCCGTGGCTCCCAGCTGTCTCGGCACATGGGCTGAGACCTGCTACTGGCCTGGTGTGGGTGTGAACCCCATAGGTCACCAGCAGAAACAAATTTCAGACCTGTCTGTGCAACACCTTTTCAGCACTGCGGAACCTGCTACAGAAGGCAGAAGGAACGGAATGCTCCAGGGTCCTGGCCGGAGCGGCCACAGGATGGAAGGTTTCAGTGAGTGGGGTGTTCAGAGAGAGCCATTCGAGGGAACATTGGCGGCCGTCTTCCTTGATAACTTTTTTCTTTTTCTTTAACTGTTCTGAGGGTCTTTGAGACTGTAGTTTACCACTATTCCAGCACCGTTTCTTTGAGGTGACCGCGTTGGCCATTGAGGGGGAGTGTAAGGAAAGTCAGCTCTGGGGCTGCAAAGTGAAAGGTGGAGCAAGTTTTTCTTAAAATCTGAAAGGTTTCAGAGAACACACTAGGTCACATGGTTTGGGAAAACAGACTATAAAAAGCTGTGAACTTGATCTTGTGGATTAAACAAAGCCAGGTGATTAAAATGTGATTTATTTGTAAACCCTGCTTATGTGTATTTTTGTGATTTTGTTTTTTAGTAGAGGATGTGGGCGGGGGCAGGGGGAGCCTTCCTTCATTGGATTAGACATAAATAGCAATAATCTGTTCGTCAAACTCACTGTTTTAAATCTACCATTCATGTGTATAATACCATGTTTTCAGGGTCTCAGCTATCTAGGGGCATGGCCCCTTCTGGGTGACATGTGAGATTAAAGTGTACAGTAGTAACTACTAAAGGGCCTTTTAAGAAGCAAGATTATGAGCTAATAGTGAAACAGAAATTGCAGACTCTCCAAAGTGACCTGTGTACATGCCACCACAAGTTATTATGGACTGTCCACCTGGGATTTAAAACAAGAGCCTCGGCTTTTTTCCCCCTTAAACATTTTTCTATTTGTGTAACACAGCATCTGGCACAAACTGGGCCCTTAAGTTTGGTTTGGATTTTCATTTGATTTTTTGATGGCTATGATTGCAAAGTTTTAAGGTCTATGAGTGTTGGGAGGTAGGGAGAGACAAGAATAAACTTTTTTTTCCTGAGAAAATTGTATATTATGTAATAATTTTAGAGTGATGAAGACATAGATATTTTTATAATTTTAAAATATGTTATCCTGCCAGAATATGAGAAGATTGACAGAACCACGTCTGCTTTCTGTCTATTTATAGAACTTGGCCACATCTAGTTCAGAGAAGCAGGAGATTCAGGGAAGCTAGACTTAGATGGCTGAGTAATATGGGATGTGGTTCAAGGAGCATAGAGCATGTCAGGCCATTACTGCAAACTGCTTGTAACATGGGAAATGTGATCTACAGCTAACTTCGTGTTCCCGCCGTGGAGAACTGGGGGTAAATGGTTTTGCTGTGGCCCATCAGGTTCTCTCTACCTTGGGCCAGTCTCTTAACAATGGTCATTAAGAGAGCACGTGGTGTGCCCCTTGGCCTGCCTTGGCTTGCTATGAAAAAACAGTCTTAGAAGAATCACTGTCTAAGGGTAAGATGAGAGCTCCCTGAGCTATTCTGAGCTGAAGTGTTTGCTGATGCAAAGCTAAATTTAGCCAACATCTGTCCAGTGTGGTCAGAAGTTTGATTCATTGAACATTCTGATTGATGGAGACAGTGCCAGGGAATGCTGGATGAGTTAAGAGTCACCCTTCCCCCCCCCCCCCCCCAAAAAAAAACTTTTAAAACAGAGGAGACAATTTAGCTACAGCCTTCTATCATTAAATACCCATCTTATAGAGGACTGTAGGCAGAGAAAATGTGAAAAATCAGGTCAGGTGTAATCCTGCATCCCTTAGTGCAGGATTGGTTTAAAAACAATTAACTTGCCCATAATTTGTGTGTTCCTGAAAGCATCATGCTGACCGTGCAGGGCAAAGTTCTAGTTTTCTTTTTTTTTTTTAAGTTCTGGTTTTGATTTAAATTCCACTTGGGGTTTAGGTTAGTGATTTATCCTTGGACCTTTGGACTGTGAGCTCTTGCAGAAGGGGTCTTAGAAATATTCTAAGTTATATTTTATGCCTGTTTTTAACATCACCAGTCTTGCTCTTAATCTGGGTGTCTTTATTCAGGGTTAAGTGTGTGTGATAGTTCTTCTAATATAGGAAGTATCTTTCTTGATTCTGAGGTGTGTCTCTGATTTGCACAATGAAGACTTGAAAAGAGGTAATACCACCAGTGTGATCTTTTTGTTGGAACTGATGGGAGCTGGTCTGGTTCTTAAGTAAGTGCTGTTCTACTGTGTTTCCTGTTGGAAAAGTATTGATTCAAAAACTGGACCTAATGGTTACAACTAACTGCATCTTTGGAAAACAGGTTTGGGAAGAAAAAAAATTTCTTTTTCCTCTGAGGTCCTTTTTCATGTGTGTCTGTGTTGATAGGCTTAAATAGTTGAGCCTCACAGCTGCAAATCTGGGAAGAATACCTGGGTCACAGAAAGCCTCCCAGGTTCTCTCCTGTGAAGCATGTGGCCTACCCCTGCCTCTCTTTCTTTCATTGACCAGGTGGCTTTGATGGTCCAAAGTGTGGGCTGAATGAGGCTTGAGGTAGGAACTTTGTGGAAACAGCAGCATAATTTAGGAGAGATGAGTTTCTTCTTCTGAAGCCCCAAGACATGGTCTGCATCATTCCTGTTGCTCCAGGAAAGTCTCAGGAAGTCATTAATGGTTTTAGAAGGCCTCAGACCTGACGTTAAGGACGAGCAACTACCACCTGTTCCTTTATCCTGGTGAGAGCTGAAACGAGGCCTCAGTGCAGCCAGCACTGCCTGGGACCCTTCTCGGTGCCAAGACTGCTCTGGCCATGGCTGAGGCTACAGATGTCGGTAAGGATCTGGGCTCTCCTCTGACAGCTCATCGTCTGACTCAGGAGGGAGACGGGGCGAGCGAATTGAGGCCACAAAAGATCGAACGCTGGGCAGAACGTGAAGTGCACTGTGCCCAGCCTTGACTGCTGTGGGGAGAGCGCCCAGCGGGGTGGGAAGAGCATAGTGTACACCTTCGAGCAGCGAGTCTGTCTTGAGCCCACGTCAGAATCACCTGGAGGGCCCCACTCCAGGATTTCTGATTCAGTAGGCCTGGGGTGGGACCTGGGAATGGGGGTTTCTAACATCCCAGATGATACTGATGCTGCTGGCCAGGGGCTGCACTTTGAGACCTGTTGACTCTGAGGAAGCTTGAATTGAGCTATTGGGCTAAGAATCGGGGTAGATACTTGGGTGAGGTTGCAGAATTCTCAGCGGAAGCTGCATCATGAATAAAGGTGTAGAGATAAGCAAGGGGTGATGTTGGGGAAACCCCTGTCGTACAGCTAGAGAAGGGGTGGTAGATGAGGATGAAGTGATGTTGAGAACCTTGGAGTACTGCTGTGTGCCTACTTAGGAGATCATCAGGGAACGAACGGGTTTAGGGCAGAAAAGACATGTAACTGTAATTCCAAGAATATCTGGCAGCAGTACTAGCCAACACCAGTTGATTACCAGTCTGCCTAGAAAGCTCTGTTGAGGATTCTGAAGCTGAGAATGGACTTAGCACTGTGATGAGTGCTTTGCATGGATAGAGAAATAGCAAGTGCTGGTGATTTTGCCCTGTCTTTGCCATCGCTGGGTGATGGCAGATTAGGGTGACAGATTAGGAGAGTACTGGAATAACTGTGATGAAAGGTAATCAGAACTCTAGGTGGTATTCCTTCAACCATATATAAGGACTTGTATAGGGCAGTAGGACTTCCCAGGCGGCACTAACGATACACAACCCGCCTGCCAGTTTAGCAGATGTGAGAGTCAAGGGTTTGATCCCTGGGTCAGGAAGATCCCCTGGAGAGGAGAGAGGCAACCCACTCCAGTATTCTTGCCTGGTGACCCACGGACAGAGGAGCCTGGCTGGCTACAGTCCACGGGGTTGCAAAGAGTCAGATGCAGCTGAAGCGACTTAGCACACACGCGCATATAGGATAATGTGAAAGTGGATGGAAAAGATATTGCTAAGGTAGAGTCTACTATAATGTGGGCCCCAGTTCATAGTTCAGCAAAAATATGTGATTGCCAAAAGAAACTGAGGATATGAGAATAAGATGTAGGAACTCAGCTCAAACAGGTAGACAGTTAACCAAGTTGACTCCACCGTGATAGGCAGATTCACAAAAGGCTTCCTTTCTGAAGTGAATCTGGAAGTATTAGGGGAGGTTAGCCAGGTGAACTGGTGGTGTGTCGGTGGGGTGGGGGGAGCAGGGTGTAGACTGGGGAAGAGGTGTCGCCATTGCAAGTAGAGTGGTCATGGATCCTGGTGTGATAATGAACTGTGTCACCATGGTGATGGGTTGCACGGGTGAGGCGGCGAGCTGCCTGGGGGCTGGCTGCCAAGGGTCACAAGGTTCATGCCAAAGGCCAGAATTTTGTGCTGTGGTCTGTGGGGCCGTCTGAGGTCAGGGAGGTCCCTGGGTCACTGTGGATGATGCATTTACAAGAACGCAGGCTGGAGGCTGGGGGAGCGGTTAGGAAGCCGGGCAGCTGTCCGTATGCTGGAGGGCCTGGGGCGCAGGGCTGAGAGTGGAGGGCCAGGACTGGTCAGACGTGGGGCACAAAGGAGTGGTGGATGACTGTGACTTCATGGCCATGGGCTGGGTAAAGGGTTGTGACCAAAGAGGGTTGAAGGCAGGAGAGGGTGATGGTGCAGTGAGGGCAGGGATAAATTCTGTTCTTCTAAACTGAGTTCTGAGGTATTGAAATTTGGGCTTCTCTGTGGCTCAGACAGTAAAGAATCTGCCTGCAATGCAGGAGTCACGAGTTCAATCCCTGGGTCAGAAAGATCCCCTGGAGAAGAGAATGGCAACTCACTCCAGTATTCTTGCCTTGAGAATTCCATGGACAGAGGAGCCTGGCGGGCTGCAGTCCATGGGGCCACAAACAGCCGGACATGACTGAGCAACTAACACCTGGAGGTACTGGTGGCACCTCCATATACCAGTAGCCAGCAGGCTGTGGGATGTGAGTCTGAAGCTTGGGGTTGATGTCTGGGCCAGAAGTACTGATCTGGGACTCTTGAACATATATGTGGCTTGAAATCACATGGATAGGCGAGCTCTGTGAGGGAGGAATACCCAGGGTACCTACCATGGTCTGGGTACACCACCATGGAAGGGGGAGGTGCAGGCCTGAGAAGAGGTTGTGCAAGAGCGTCCAGGGGACCCTGAACACTCGGGGCCTTTCCCAAAGGGAGGGCTGGTCCCCAGGGGCGGCTGCAGAGCTATGTGGGGAGCGAGGAAAAGAAACCCTCGGGACGGAGCGGGGCGGAGGCCTGGGGCTGAGGCTCCAGCGGACACGGGGAGTCGGGGAGGGCGTCTGCTCAGGAGAGGGAGTTTGCTCGGGCAAGCTGGAAGATGATTCAGTTGGGGAGCTGTCCGGCTCGTGGAACAGGCTGCTGGAGTTAACGTTGTGGAGCTCAGGGACAGGCTGGTTAGAGGGATGGGTCTGAGAGTCATTTGCTGAGAAGTCGACTAGATACAAC